AACGATATTTCATGACATTCATTGATGATGCTACTAGATTTTGCTATGTGTACTTGTTGAAAACGAAAGACGAGGCTCTAGACTATTTTAAAATTTATAAGGCAGAAGTTGAAAATCAACTTGACAGAAAGATAAAAAGGCTTAGGTCTGATCGTGGTGGAGAGTTTTTCTCGAACGAGTTTGACTTATTCTGTGAGGAACATGGCATCATACATGAGATGACGCCTCCCTATTCTCCCGAGTCTAATGGGATTGCTGAAAGGAAGAATCGCACACTGACTGACTTGGTGAATGCCATGTTGGACACCGCGGGACTGCCTAAGGCATGGTGGGGGGAGGCATTGTTGACCTCAAATCATGTGTTAAACAGAGTTCCTAACAGAAATAAGGACAAAACACCATATGAGATATGGATTGGTAGAAAACCATCACTTTCTTATTTGCGCACATGGGGGTGCTTGGCGAAAGTCAATGTACCAATAACGAAGAAGCGCAAACTTGGACCTAAGACTGTGGACTGTGTTTTTCTGGGATATGCTCATCATAGCATTGCCTATAGATTTTTAATAGTTAAATCCGAGGTACCGGACATGCATGTTGGTACAATTATAGAGTCTCGTGATGCTATCTTCTTTGAGAGCTTTTTCCCAATGAAGGATACACATAGTGGTTCGAACCAACCATCTGAAATAATTCCTAGTTCAATCACACCACCAGAACAAACTGAACATACACATGAACTTGTCTCTGAGGAGGATGTCAGTGAAGCTCCTCGAAGGAGTAAGAGACAAAGGACGGCTAAGTCTTTTGGTGATGATTTCACTGTGTACCTCGTGGATGACACTCCTAAGTCAATTTCAGAAGCATATGCATCTCCTGATGCAGATTACTGGAAGGAGGCTGTCCGTAGTGAAATGGATTCCATTATCGCTAACGGGACTTGGGAGGTGACAGAGCGACCCTATGGGTGTAAACCTGTGGGGTGCAAGTGGGTGTTCAAGAAGAAGCTTAGGCCTGACGGTACTATTGAAAAGTACAAGGCTCGACTTGTTGCTAAGGGCTATACTCAGAAAGAAGGCGAAGATTTCTTTGACACTTACTCACCTGTTGCTAGATTGACCACAATTCGTGTGCTACTTTCCCTAGCAGCCTCACATGGTCTTCTCGTTCATCAAATGGACGTTAAGACAGCTTTTCTTAATGGAGAGCTGGATGAGGAGATCTATATGGATCAACCTGATGGGTTTGTAGTTGAAGGTCAAGAAGGCAAAGTGTGCAAATTGTTGAAGTCTTTGTATGGTCTAAAACAAGCTCCTAAGCAATGGCATGAGAAATTTGACAAAACATTGACATCTGCAGGCTTTGCAGTCAATGAGGCAGATAAATGTGTGTACTATCGCCATGGTGGGGGTGAGGGAGTTATTTTGTGCTTGTATGTTGACGACATACTGATATTTGGGACAAACCTTGAGGTGATAAATGAGGTTAAATCATTCTTGTCTCAAAATTTTGATATGAAGGATTTGGGAGTAGCTGATGTTATCTTAAACATTAAGCTAATTAGAGGTGAGAATGGGATTACACTCTTGCAGTCCCATTATGTGGAGAAGATCTTGAATCGCTTTGGCTACATTGATAGTAAGCCTTCTCCAACACCTTATGATCCTAGCTTGTTGCTTCGCAAGAACAAGAGAATTGCTAGGAATCAACTGGAATACTCCCAAATCATTGGCTCGTTGATGTACCTGGCTAGTGCAACTAGGCCTGATATCTCCTTTGCTGTGAGCAAGTTGAGCCGATTTACCTCTAATCCGGGAGATGATCACTGGCGTGCGCTTGAGCGAGTAATGCGCTATCTGAAAGGTACTGTGGAATTGGGGCTTCACTATACTGGGTATCCTGCGGTACTGGAGGGTTATAGTGATTCTAACTGGATCTCTGATGTGGATGAGATCAAAGCCACTAGTGGATATGTTTTCACACTGGGTGGTGGTGCTGTTTCATGGAGGTCTTGCAAACAGACCATTTTGACGAGGTCAACCATGGAAGCAGAGCTAACGGCACTGGATACTGCTACTGTTGAGGCAGAATGGCTGCGTGATCTATTAATGGATCTGCCTGTTGTTGAAAAACCGGTGCCGGCTATCCTTATGAACTGTGACAATCAAACGGTAATTGTCAAAGTGAATAGTTCTAAGGATAATATGAAATCGTCTAGACATGTGAAAAGACGATTGAAGTCTGTCAGAAAATTAAGAAACTCTGGAGTTATAACGTTGGATTACATCCAAACAGCGAGAAACCTGGCAGATCCCTTCACGAAGGGACTATCACGAAATGTGATAGACAATGCATTGAAGGAGATGGGTTTGAGACCCATATGAGTTATACTATGGTGGTAACCCAGTCTATGTGATCGGAGATCCCGTGAATTAGATCCTGAGAAGAACAAACCATTAGTAAACTAGAGGAGAGTATCAATATATATACCCTCTCCAAGTGAAGATGCATGTACTCTCGTGAGCTGCAAGGCAGATTGGCTATGCCTTAATGAGTTCTGTTGACTTTAATTAGCAAAGATGTTGTCCTGCAGAGCATTCTTGAAAGAACTCACCTTTGTGAGCTTGACTGTTGGTCGCAGTCTATGAAGATTTTGGGTGAATCTTCTAGGAAGCTTACTAAAGACCTAGGAGTATGACTTATACGCTCCACCCGAGGGGTAGTCTACAGACGGTCTAGTACCAGATAAGACTTTGAGTGAAACTTGCTTGCACAAGACTTGCAATTCAAGGCGTAGTCCATTGTTCAAGTTGTGAGTAAGTGTAGCTTGGAATTCTAGGTGGATGTTCAACCTTAATTGGTCTCCATCGAACCGCTGGTATATAAACAGTACATTGGAAAAGGCAAATCTCAGTGGGATTTTGAGATTTGGTGGGGGATTGTTGGAATTAATGAATGGGCCTTAGCCCACTCGAATTGTTGGAATTAATGAATGGGCCTTAGCCCACTCGAAGATTAATTCTTTGGAAAATCACAAAAGCCCACCTCATGGGATGGCATGCATGTGGAGTTTAGTACCACCTTGCTTATTCTAGGAGAGGGGGACCTTATTAAAAGGGAGGATGCCCTCCTAGTCACTTGAAGCATGTGTGGTGGAGAGAAGAGGGGAAACACGCGCGCGCTCGCTCGCCTCGCCTCGCCTCGCCTGGCAGGGCAGGCGGCGCGCGTGCACGACGTACGCGTCGAATGGTCCGAAAAATTGGCTCCTCACCCTTGCGCAGATGCAGCCTCCTTTTGCAGTTTTGTTTTGCTGCAAATTCGGATTCGTTTTTGCTTTGGAAACGTTCCGAAAAATCCGGTGCGTGCAAACGGCATGGAGTCCGGATAAGTTACGCGCGACTTATCCGGTTCGGTTACGCGCAGTAGAGATCGTGCGGGCGCCCTGATCAAGCGACCCTTCTCTATATAAACCGACCTGCCGTCTTCACGCAGCACACGCAAAATCAATCTAGGGTTTGCCTCCTACTCTGTACTGTGCCGTCGCTCGTAGACTACTCCATCCCGCTCGCCGGCGTGCACCAGCGATCGGGAGAGCAGGTCTCCGGAACCTCTGTCTTTGACGTCCTGCACCGGGAGAAGGCGGCAATAAGGTTTTTGGAAAGCGCTTCGCGCGACTGCTCCCTGTTCGTTCGCGACGGCTCGCCTTCCTCTTCGCTCGCGTGTTTCGTGCCTTCGTAGACACCTGCGAAAAGTTTCGACCAAGCAGCCGGTCTTTTCGTCACCTTGGTACGTGTTCAATATGTTGTGCATATTTGATCTGTTCATGTTATATGTTATACTGTGTAGTTTACATGTGTAGATCTAATGATGCGTTCATGCTAGTTCTCATATGTAATGTCATGATTTATTTATGGAATAGATTAAATCATTATATGTCTATAATCTCAACACTATGGGCTACCGCCGCCTCGCCACCAGGAGCAACAAGGCACCTCCATCCACCATGTCGATGGTTGGATCTTCAGGCCGCTGCCGCCGTCCCCAAAGTCCTCATCGCCGATGACTGCTACCTCTCCATGCCATCTCCCATCAGCTCGGCTACATCGTCGGCCACGGAATCTCCACGGCCTCCACATCGACTTGGACCAGGATCCTCTTCCCGTCGCACTCTGTCGGCACCACCGCCTGCCATCCGCTGAACGCCCCCTTGACCGGTATAGCCTCCCCTCCGTTTCCATTCTGTCTGTCTCTCCCTCTTTCTCTCTGATAAACGGATAGGAACGATGAGTGGATAGATAAGAACGATGCAAGAGCTCATGAGTCCATAGACATGGTCTATGGACCATTGACGCATGGGAGGAGACGTGCTCGTGCTGCACTGCCATAACCATTGTTTTTTTTTTTTGAGAATTCCATAACCATTGTTTGCTACCAGTAATTGCTACTACTCCAACTGCTTAGTAGGCACCGCTTTTATTTTTTTCTATTAGGGATCTAGGCCTTATCTCCTCAGTGGCCTAAAATTATAGGGGGCTATAATTTTTTTTTGATTTCAATGCTTGTGTTATGAGCGCGTTTATACTATGGGTGTGTTTAGATTCTAACAAAAATTATCAAAAAAGTCATATCAAATGCTTGGACACATGTATGTATGGAACATTAAATGTGGATAAAAAAACCAATTGCATAGTTTGCATGTAAATTGCGAGACAAATCTTTTGAGCCTAATTACGTCATAATTTGACAATGTGATGCTACATTAAACATTTGCTAATGACGGATTAATTAGGGTTTATAAATTCGTCTCGTAGTTTAAAGGCGGAACCTGTAATTTATTTTGTTATTAGTCTACGTTTAATACTTCAAATGTGTATCCGTATACGTCAAAGTTTTTACACCCAACAAACTAAACACGGCCAATGTATTTCTAATATATATATATATATATATATATATATATATATATATATATATATTGGCAATTTAAAGTACATTGAGTATAAAAATTCCACTTGTATTTTATTAGACTTACCTACATACAAATAAATATTTTTCTTCATGATACAAATTTTCATCCGTCGCCTTTTTTTAGCAGATTAGTTGTCTAAACTAAATAACAATTTTTATCACTGTACACACTTCGTAATCACCTGGTGCAATGTACGGACACTTTTGCTAGTTAGTATATAGATACAGATATAGATATAGATTAAGAAGGTAGACAAATAAATAAATGAGGACTTGTTATAGTTGGTTGAGATGAAAAATTATTGAAAAAACAAAGTTAGTTATAGTTAACTAATATGATAAAATAGTTGGAGAAATGATACCAAATTTGAAAAATAAGTAGTTATATATTTGGATGGAGGGAGTTTATAAGACAAATATAATTAAAAATAATTTGTAACTTGGAGCCGCATTTAACCATGACATTAAGAAATTTTAACTAGGATTTTCAAACCGACCCATACATGTAGGGATGACTAGGCGCTGGTAACCAATTATCTAGGGCCATGAGAGGATTTTTAGACAACCTAATTAATTATCTAGGGTGCCAATGGAGAAAAAAAAACAAGATACATATGGAGGAAGTTTTATCAGAAAAATGAAAAGCAATCAAGTTGGGCCGGGCCTTCTCATAAGCCCAAATCGTTGGACCATTAAAGCTTGCCCACCTCCCTCTCTATCTCTCTCTCTCTCCTCCCTCCCCAGCAGTGCAGCAGTACCACGCGCGGCGCGCAATGCCGTTCCTTAGCCCTCTCGCTGGCGATGACGCCGACGACTACTACTACGCCTACGACTCCAGATTCCGCCGAGGCAGCGGCGGCGGGAAGATCGCCAAGAAGGAAAAGGACAAGGACAAGGACAAGGGCTTCCTCTCCTTCCTCCCCTGCTTCCTCCCCTGCTGTAATCGCTCCTTCCCGATTCTTGATTTGCGGATTCTTGATTCCGGTGGATTCTTGGCTCATCGCTGCTTGGTTCTTGGCAATCAGCGCCCGGATCGGTGGAACCGACGGTGCACCGCCGCCTCCTCTCCTCCGACTCCAGCGACAGCGACAACATCGCCACCGCGGACATCACCGCCGACCTCGCCCGCCTCCGCGCCCGCTACTCCCGCCTCGCCACCGGCCCGCCCGTCCGCCCCCGCGACGTCCCCTGCCTCCTCGCGCGCACCGACGACCCGCCGCTCGCCGTGGCCGCGCTCTCCTGGCTCGGCGGCGACCTCCGCCCCTCCTGCATCCTCCTCACCCTCCTACCGGCGCTCTTCCCCACCCTCCCCGCGCACGCCCGCCACGCGCTCTCCGCCGCCGCGCGCCGCCTCCACGCCCGCGAGGCCGCGCTGGACGGCGAGGTCGCCGAGTACCAGTCCACCTACGCGATGAAGCTGGCGTGCGAGAAGACCAAGGACGGGGTGGCGGAGACGGCGGGGGAGGAGATGTGCAAGATGGCGCGCGCGGCGCGGCGGGCCGACAAGCTGCGGTGGCGCGCCGTGGAGGCCGCGGTGAAGGAGGTGCTGACGCCGGCGCAGGCCAAGGAGTTCCTCAAGGCCGTCGAGGACGTGGCGGCCAGGGCGGCGCGCCACGGCGCGAGGTGGCACGCGCGCACCGGCGCCGTCTCCGTCCCCGTCGAGGTGTTCGACCGCATGCGCGCCAACGCCAGAGCAGCCACGGATGATGCTTGGTGATCATCAACGGTTTTCATTCGATTCTCCACTAGTTTTGTTTTGTTTGGACAAGAGATTCATCGCTAGTTTTACTTCAGTTCGAATCCTTCTGAAAGCTTGGGCTGAAATCGGCCAAAATTGTTCATGTTTTTACTTCACTTCTTTGCACCTATATACTGTATTCCTGTCTCTACTTACAGAGAGGGAACTATACCTGAACCATTGTTTTCGAATGAAGTTTGGATGGATTACACCTTTACAGATTACAGTGATCTCTGCTGACAATAGTTTGTTCTCGCATCACTTGAAGTTTGTCAGGGCAGACATACAAATTGTGTGAAACTCCTCTGTGCATATCAATTTGGTTTTTGAATTGAAAGTTTGGATGATCAAAGTTCATTTTGGGGTGTGATGGTATCAAAATATTTTGGTACAAGTTTGTTAGACTATGTGAGCTGTAAATGTCACATTCTATTAGTTAATGGTTTGCTGTCTAGAGTTACTTATTTGTTCCGTGAATGTCACATTGCTGTGTGCTGGATTGCGTTGCCTGTGTTATACACAGAACAATCGGCTTCAAATAATATGATCTGCTTCATCTTGTCGAAACAAGATTTCGGCGATATAAAGTGGGAAGCGCACGAGACCTAAAGGTGGATGGATGCGAGGATAAAAGATTTAGACATGTTCAGGCCCTCTCAATGAGAGGTAATACCCCACTCCTGTTTGGGGATTTGAATCCACCGGGTGTGTATTAATCTGACGATCTGGTTTTGAATCATGCCCCCTAGAGGGCCTCTTGCCTACCTTATATAGCAGGGGGGATTACAAGATAGAAATCTTAGCCTACGATATCGGTTTTTTAAATCTACTTTATAATATTATCAAATCAGGACTTTAGGCCGTTTCATAATATACAAGAAAACGCAATACCCAAGTCATGATCCGTTACATATTTTATAAATATAAGTTATCTCCTATAACCAGTTGGATAACCATGCCATGTGGGTATGGGGTACCTATAATCTCTACAGTAACCCCTAAGACCTTCACAGTCGAAAAGATAATCTTTCTCTCGAACCAGATTACTCCAAAGCTGAGTGCTTTAATCATCTTTGCCATAGTCTGCCGAGTACTTTCACCAAATCAGAAGACTGTGGAGGGCTAAAAAATAATTAAATGTAAACATAGGTGCATCGACTAGATGCACCTAATAGGTGTAGCCCCCGATTATGTGGTTAGTTGAACAAACCAAGCATATAGTCAAGGAATAAATAATCCAACCAACTGAGTGGTTTTTGATAATTATAGTCATTTGATATCAATATATAGCATATGCGGTGTGAACCCCCCGAATAACATGATCCGAGTGATATACCGACCGCTTTGTAAAATATGATGTGTGCAATCTAAAGTTGACTACATCATTAAAAATTCACATAGCAAAACAGTTATAAAGAAGCCTATATGCTGTGAATAAAGAATTTTCCAAAGTATTGGCACACGCCATACGCACACTGTTTTAACAGATGTTCTTAAGTCACTAAAAGACACATGGTTTCACCACACCTAGAAATATATGGCATGTTCTTCTCAACAAGAGGCTGGAGCGATCGTTGCCAAAATTTCCGACTAGATCCCACCAAGAGACTAGCCACCAATTAAATTGTTCTGCAATCGGGCATCAGTTGCCGAGTTGTTTCCCTGCTCAGCTAGATTTGAAGCAATCAGCAAGTTGTCATTATTTGTCGTTTCGCCTGTTTCGTTGAGTAATCATCTAAGCCGGGCCCACACATATATCTACACATGCAAGCAGGAACCAATTTCGTCGGCGTCGTACATCTTTGCTTGAACAGCGACACGGTCTTCTCAAAAATCTTCTCCGACTCGGGACCATGGCCAACACAAAGCATCTCGGCCGACTACCAATGGGATGTGCATGTTTAACTGCTGCTGCATGCTGTCATACAGACAGACACAAGCAGCCGATTGCTGCTCGAGCTCATGCGTCTACAGGCACATGCAAGCAGGAGAACTCCGGCCGCCAAGCACAAGTCTGCAACTCTGCATAGGCCTCTCAACTTACACGGGAAGATTGCCACGCCTACATGTTGATATTTTCTGTTGTGTATATCATCGCCGGCCGAGTCCGATCTCGCCATGACAACCCTCGATCAAACCGTATGCTAGCCCAACTTATACTTGGACACAATACACCAAAAGCGTCAGCTTGCAACGGGTTTTATCATTCTGATCTAATCTATTACCTATTATATTAATTATTTTTATTTTCCGTTCACTAATCACAAGTTAACGTGTGCTCTATTTTTTCATATATTAATGGCCGAGTTCGACATTCGACGACTGACAAAAGCCAAGGCCTAGGCCCAATTTCAACTCGGCTAACGGGCTCAGCGTGGCGTCAGGGTTGACTGACCACAAAAGCTCAACGGTGAGGAGATTGTCTTTATACGCCTGTCTAAGATACGAGCTGGCGCCGACTCCCATGCAGTTTAAACATCTAGCGGAGCTGCTCTTCAAAGCATCTCACCACCGGCTTGCTTCCGTCGCAGCCGACTGGTGTTCTTGCCTACACGGTTGGTTGGTCATACCACCGTTGATGGGCATCTTCATCATCACCGACCAGTTGTCTCATCTGCTGCCGACTGGTGTCTTCATCTATATGGTTGATTGGTCACACCACCGTTGATAGGCATCTTCATCATCATCGCCGGCTCGCCTCCGTCGCCGCTGACTGGTGTCCTCGCCTATACGGTTGGTTGGTCACACCACCGTTGATGGGCGTCTTCGTTTTCACTATCGGCTTGCCTCTGTCGCCGCCGATTGGTGTTTTCACCTATACGGTTGGCGGACTCCGCCATCGTTGATGGGCCTCGTTATCTACACCACCGGCTTGCTTCCGCCGTCGCCGACTGGTGTCTTCATTGTTATTGATGGACGACTGTTCCCACATTGGTCACCCCTACATGGTGCGCCAACTGTCGAAATAAGATTTCGGCAATATAAAAGTGGTAGCGCACGAGACGTAAAAGTGGACGGATGTAGAGACAAAAGATTTAGACAGGTTCAGGCCCTCTCAATGAGAGGTAATACCCTATTTCTGTTTGGGATTTGAATCCGCCGGATGTGTATTGATCTGACGATCTGGTTGTGAATCATGCCCCCTAGAGGGCCTCCTGCCCACCTTATATAGGATGGAGGACATGATTACAAGATAGAAACCTTAACCAATATGGTATCAGTTTCTTAAATCTACTTTACAATATTATCAAACCAGGACTTTAGGCCGTTCCATAATATACAAGGAAATGTAATACCCAAGTCATGATCCGTTGCATATTTCATAGATATAAATTATCCCCTATAACCAGTCGGATAACCATGCCATGTGGGTATGGGATACCAATAATCTCCACACATCTAATATGCCATTCTACCAATTTATGCAAATGTTGGGTTAGATTCGCATGGAAGCACGGGATTTCAACTTCGACTGATGTGTAGGTCCCACCTCTACACAATACATTTTGGATTTTTGATTGTCTATTTAATGTACCAATCAAGACCATTTGTACCCGTGGACCAGTTCGGTGAACCATGTCAATGGTGAACTAGATGAATGATCTTGTCACAATTTCTATTCGGGTACTATGGTGATATTTAAGTCAAGGAATATGTAGAGATTGTGGTTTGTGGGGAAGATCTCTACAAAATGTTTAAACTATTCGAAATGTTGTGCCCTTTGCCCCTTTCATATATAGGCATGCGTAGTAATGTTTGTCATGCTTATATTTGTTTTCCAAATCAGGGAATAGTAGATCCTGATGGTTTAACTAATACCTCATGCTCAGTTGGGTAAGCATGGGTGTGCGGCCTGCGATGTTACCTAGTGCTTTTATATAGGTTAGAATCATGGTTATTATTTTATGTTTTAATCTCCTAATTGTTTAAAATGTGGCTTTGTGCAAACGAACTTCAAATGCCTTCCTTGTACCTTTATAAATTGCAATGTGTACTCAATTAATTGATTTGAAGATGGCTTGAATAGAGATACGTGCATCCATTGTTCATCTGTAGTAAGTACTATTTACCATTTCTGTTGAACATGCCTATGATAACCAACTTTGTCTTTGTGTACCTCATATTTCATGGAATAGTATTATACTAAGACCCTTATTTGGTACACACTAAGCCACTCTAAACTCAATCTATCACCAAACTAGTGAAGAAAATGATCACAATTAACTCAATGGTGCTCTTGGACTCTCTCTTCAGTTACACACCTCAACAGGGTTCCAAACGATATTAGGGAGTTGAAGGCAATAGATATTTATAGCCCCAAACTAGCTGACTAGCCGTTTGTGACTGTTGGACAAAAGCAGCCAGATATCAAGCATGGTAAACAGCCCGCCACCGGTCCGAACTGTACGGTCCCTTGCACTTTTCCAATAGTCACTAGGCAAGTAGCCGCTGGGCTATCAAGCAACGGAAAATCCAATATCATTCGGATTATCTGGGAGGTCATTGTTCGCACAATGTCAGACAGTCCACTACAGTTCAAACAAAATTGACTCGCAACGGTCGAGTGGGTTGGCAGACTGTCCGTCGCCCTAGCAAATTTTCTACTGATTGCCAGAGAATTGGGTAGTGGACAACCCATGATCTGCCGGTTAGTCCGGCCAGTCCCTTGTCAACACATGACCGTAGTTGGATGATGCATTGGTAGGAAAATTTGGCACCGTAGCCGATTATCCGCCTAAGTAGTTTTAGCGGTCAAGACAAGTCTAGCATGGATTATTCGGCATCACTCAGACAATCCGGCTAGTACAGCTTCTGGGTGTAGTAAAACTTGCACACGATCAACCACGAGGTTTTACTAACTTGTTTTTAGCACTTGATTTGAAAGACTAGCAACCTAGTGTGCACCACACCTAGATTCTAGCACCACACCTTGATTCTAGCACTTTTGAAACTTCAAGCTACTAACTTCCAACCCCTCTTTATAGTACGGTCTTTAACCTAATTGTACTGTATTTGCCCCAACTCCTCGAATGCATTACTGATGATCGGGTTGCGATAGATGATCTTCTTCGTTAACATCCTTTTTGCGGGTTTAGGAAACACATCCAACACAATAGGCACTATATATGATTTATTTTCAGGGTTACCATCCGCCGTTACCATCCAACACATAGCCAACACAATCCTTTTTGAGGGTGTAGATGCTTTCATTTTTCATATATGAAT